GAACGAGAATGTATCAGCCAAATATGCACTAAACTCACACAACCAATCCACAAACAAACACCCAAAAACCACGAATCACTCACCCAACACATACAATCAACAACACAAAAACAAGACAACAAATACCAATCACTCACTCCAATAACCTCAAATCTCAACCTCCTGCAACACACACACACGCACACACACACACCCTCCAACTAAACCAACTACAAACATCACCTGTGGCTGAGACTTAAACCCAAAACGTATACCACGATCGGGAGCTATATCCCAGCACTCAATCAATCTCGCATACTTCGACAAACAACACTCTCAGTGAACGAGAATGTATCAGCCAAATATGCACTAAACTCACACAACCAATCCACAAACAAACACCCAAAAACCACGAATCACTCACCCACCACATACAATCAACAACACAAAAACAAGACAACAAATACCAATCACTCACTCCAATAACCTCAAATCTCAACCTCCTGCAACACACACACACACACACACACACACCCTCCAACTAAACCAACTACAAACATCACCTGTGGCTGAGACTTAAACCCAAAACGTATACCACGATCGGGAGCTATATCCCAGCACTCAATCAATCTCGCATACTTCGACAAACAACACTCTCAGTGAACGAGAATGTCTCAGCCAAATATGCACTAAACTCACACAACCAATCCACAAACAAACACCCAAAAACCACGAATCACTCACCCAACACATACAATCAACAACACAAAAACAAGACAACAAATACCAATCACTCACTCCAATAACCTCAAATCTCAACCTCCTGCAACACACACACACGCACACACACACACCCTCCAACTAAACCAACTACAAACATCACCTGTGGCTGAGACTTAAACCCAAAACGTATACCACGATCGGGAGCTATATCCCAGCACTCAATCAATCTCGCATACTTCGACAAACAACACTCTCAGTGAACGAGAATGTATCAGCCAAATATGCACTAAACTCACACAACCAATCCACAAACAAACACCCAAAAACCACGAATCACTCACCCAACACATACAATCAACAACACAAAAACAAGACAACAAATACCAATCACTCACTCCAATAACCTCAAATCTCAACCTCCTGCAACACACACACACACACACCAACACCAACACCAACACCCTCCAACTAAACCAACTACAAACATCACCTGTGGCTGAGACTTAAACCCAAAACGTATACCACGATCGGGAGCTATATCCCAGCACTCAATCAATCTCGCATACTTCGACAAACAACACTCTCAGTGAACGAGAATGTATCAGCCAAATATGCACTAAACTCACACAACCAATCCACAAACAAACACCCAAAAACCACGAATCACTCACCCAACACATACAATCAACAACACAAAAACAAGACAACAAATACCAATCACTCACTCCAATAACCTCAAATCTCAACCTCCTGCAACACACACACACACACACACCCTCCAACTAAACCAACTACAAACATCACCTGTGCCTGAGACTTAAACCCAAAACGTATACCACGATCGGGAGCTATATCCCAGCACTCAATCAATCTCGCATACTTCGACAAACAACACTCTCAGTGAACGAGAATGTCTCAGCCAAATATGCACTAAACTCACACAACCAATCCACAAACAAACACCCAAAAACCACGAATCACTCACCCAACACATACAATCAACAACACAAAAACAAGACAACAAATACCAATCACTCACTCCAATAACCTCAAATCTCAACCTCCTGCAACACACACACACACACACACCCTCCAACTAAACCAACTACAAACATCACCTGTGGCTGACACTTAAACCCAAAACGTATACCACGATCGGGAGCTATATCCCAGCACTCAATCAATCTCGCATACTTCGACAAACAACACTCATCTAACGAGTACGTCTGAGTTAATGTTGCAGTGAAGTCTCTGAATGTCTGCATCAAATAGCACAGACGACTTTTGGCTGTCCTCTCAGAGGACACTTTGTTTTTAAGTGATGGCTTGTTTTTTGGCTTTACTTGTTGATTTCGATAGTTTTAATCATATGTATATTTTACATTGGGGTTCTTGGAGGAATTTTAGGATATAGGAAGTGCTACTCTTTGTGGAGCTGTAGAGACCAGAGTTGATTGAAGTACCTAGCAACGAATCTCCATTTTTGAGGGGAGTATCAGGATGGTAGTTTCTCCTACTGGTCTGGCCACCTTTGTTTTAAATTCAGGCGGCAGCATGGGTGAGGGCTTTTAAACCAGGAACCGATCAGGATAGCAAGGTAGGGCTTCATTAATGTGAAGTCAGTGTGCTGGTGTACACACAACATAGCAAAAAGAACAAGACCTAATTTTCAGCACGTCATAACAGTGCTTCTTTATGGTTCAGAGACTTGGCACATCTCCAAAGCCCTTCCAACAGGCTGTAGGCTATCATCAACACATGACTTCGTTAGATATCAAGAATTAGATGGCTGAGAGGATAAAGAGCAAGGGACTCTTCCAGGGAGGGTACCAGTCAAGAACCTACTGCACTACAAACATGCAAAAGGAAATGGAAATGTATCAGATAAATGCTGAGGAGACCCTCAAGTGACACCGCTCAGAGGGTGAAATGGAGACCATGTGAGGAAATGAAAGCTTGTACGAACATACGGGGACAGCTGGAAGTGATGGCGGAGAAACAAGTGCAACTGAGACCTGTCAAAGCCCTAACGTTTCACTTGAAAAGCAAAAATAAGTAAGAGTAGTATTATATACAAGATTACACTTACTTGTGGTAAGATTACGTTCATCAAATCACTGTCCGTTAACGCTTTCAGATAACCACTGAAGTTTTCAAGCAATATGATCCGTGTGTGTCTTTCAGTAATCATGAACTTGTGAATAATTAGCGGAGTAATAAATTTCTGAAAATTCTGGAGAGAAATGACCACTTTGGGTTTAGAAGATCCCTGGACATTTTCTGAGTGAAAGTAATGAATTCCGGAAACAAACAAAGTAAGAGACAATAAAGAGTGACAGCATATATATAAACTATCTAAAATCAACTTATTGAAAAGACCACTGAATTTAAACTACTGCGATAGTTAAGTTTCAAATTATTACTGCATATTTCGTTGATCGAAGTCTCGATAGGGATCATTCACTGATTTAAACTCGAAAACAATACAAGATTAGAGTATTCTGCACTAGCCATTTGTCATTTAACTAAATGACCATGAACACCCTTACGTACTTAAATGAGAGCGTACAGAAAAATCAATTAGTTTGGGAAATGAGTTGGGTTTTTAGTGTAAATTATAACACAATTTAGGTATTCTCCCAGTTTTACCACTAACTCCCGATAGAATTTTGTCGGGCTGACGGAAGGTTTTCCTTCGAAATCTGCTAGTCGTGGCTTTCAGTTGCTGCAGTTGTTTGACCAAACAGTACGCCTAGATCCTAGACCCATTTAGTCATACTGACATTAGGATAGTAGATAAATGGGCGACATTCTCAAACCATGCCAACTATAGGTCATAAATGTTTATTTTCACTAAGAACTCATTTGTGCCACATCAATATTATCAGCAAGTAGTTAGATCTGATAATCAAGCTTATATATCCACATACACCAACTCTGGCATTTAGTACACTAGAGCTAGAATGTATCCTCGACGGGAAATGTTAGGTGATATAGGATGGATCAGGTTAGAAAAGAGCCAGTGGTGGTCAAACCAAAAAATGATAGCAGTCAATGAAATCCACAACTGTTAGTTTAAGACAGCCACGTAGGAGGTGCAGACTTCCTGGTTGGGATCCTCGGCACGGCAAACACCAATGGCTGGAGAAAATTGGTGATGTGGCTCCAAATTGTTCTCAATGGCGCAGATGCAACCACTCCTTGTGACTTATCCAACAAACCTCTATTGTTATTTGATGTTACTATTCTTTTTGCCTCATATTTCTGTTTACTGTCTCTGTCTTGCATTTCTTCTTACTTTCTTCTGTTGCTTTGTGTGCTAGGTGAAGTGTGGCGACTCGAACCGCTGCACATCGGTGCAAAGTTCTACGATGAAACCAGTCGGCCAGTCATCCCGAAAATCTAAAATATGGTTAGATGTAGATGAATTTTAAAGTTATTTCGAATACAATACAGATGATGTTGTTCGTGAAATAATGTTAAAGGTAAAAGTCAAGAAAAAGCACACCTTCCATTTACATTGCAGCGATGATCAACAGAAGGCTGAGTACATCACTAGCCAGAGCTTATCCTGCAGCTAAGCTGGTCCCCGTCTATTGCACAACTTGCTCTTCGGTGCAATCGAAAATCGATAGATATCCTTCTCGTATTGACTCCAACTGTATAAACAAACTTACATGTATCTGCGGGAGTAGTTACATTGGAAGGACAGAAAGAATGGCATGTCTAAGATTTTCTGAACATATACCAAAAAGCTTACGTCTAAAGGGAACAAATGCTTTAAACAGTGCCATCGCCAGGCATCTCCTCGACACGGGTCATGAGGTGGATGTCGAAAAGTCGTTCAAGATTATCAATAGGCAAAAGAGCTCAATTCTCCTCAAGTTTGCTGAAGCCGTTTCCATCAAGCGCCTGAAACCTGATTTATGCGTCCAGAAAAAAGCGGTTATCAGTCTTTCTTTTCCCTGATAACTGGATATTTTCATCTCTCTTTCATCTGAATGCGAGATGTTGAAAAGTTTCTATTGTGTATGATAATTATTGTTCGGAATAGTGTTTAATATTGAATATATATGTATGTATATATTATTACTGTATGCATATGTTGATCGATTGATTTTTGTTTAAAATGAACTCTGTACAAGTATGTTAAAATTGTTTTTGTAGATATATTTAATAATGTCTTCGGCCTGTAAGCAGCTGACGAGAAGGCAACGAAATAAAAGATTGTACCAGTTTATTCTGCTAAAACTGTAGTTCTTGCTTTGTTTAAATCACACTGTTATGTCAAAACTTACCTCATTAATCTTTAATTTCGTAACCTTTTTCAATCGTCCTCTGTAAGCCATATCTCTTTCCAAAAGATTTTCCATAGCTGTCTTATGTTCTTTTTTTAATTGGTCAAGTGTTAATTCTAAATTATGATAATACGCCCAAAGTGCTTCACGATTTAATCGAAATTCTTCAAGTGATGCCAGTTCATTAGCTATGTTTTTATTAGAACAAGAATATATGTGTATATATCATTCGACAAATTCCATATTATTCAATAATGTATATGTATTTTTCCTTGTTTAACTGAATAATAAACCTGACTTTCTTACTGGTGTGCATGACAATGTTAACTTGTAACATCCTAACAGAATATCCTATCCGTGTAGGAGAAGCATTTGCACTAACAACTGGGGCTGATCGCCATCAATTAAAATGAATTCTTATACCTTACTTATCTGTAGCTTCTACTAGTTGAATACAAAACAACCTATTCACTTATCTACCTACCGGACATTTTAGAAAAGCAATTTACAATCGCTGAAATATATGTACACAAAAAGAATGCCTAAAAGAAATATACTGAAAAACAGACTATACAAGTCAACTAAAGAAACATGTTTAAAATGAATAGAATACCAACCAGTCTGAGACTAATACTCTGCTCTTGCGAGGTTTTCACAACAATATAAGCTATCAACACTTCGCAAATAATTATGATTACCGATAAGCTATTTAAAGATGACGAACTTATGCGCCATTTCATTTTATCTAGCCTGAAGAACATTTCTCTATACTAGTGCCTTAGACGAAAAGAATTACAGTCCATACTCCTGACGAGGCATTCTCCCTCAAATGGCTGTTACGTTGCATAAGATACCCCCACCAGACAGAAATCCATCACCACCTACTTCTATCTCAACAATTTATTGAAGGCTGATCATTTTATAATCCGAGGTTATTCGGGCTGGCAGACAACCTACTATTGATAACATTTAATTCAACAGTTTTAGAAACGTTAACACTGTTAAGTGGGACATAATTGTAAAGGAGAAAATCTACTTTTCATCTAATATATTATAATGTATCCGGTAATTAAATCATATTTTTCAAATGTACAATAATTATGTCACCAAAAATTATTTTTCTTTCCTATAATAATGCGTCAGTGGAACAGCGGTAGAATGCTCGCCAATCACGCGTGTATTTCGGGGTTCGAACCCCGGTCGACGCAATCCTTTACCTCGCTAAGTTAGCAATAAGACTGGTAAAGGGGAGAGGTTGAGCATGAGGCTAGCAACCCTAACCTGTATAAATAATAAACACCACCGCTACCGAAAATTCAAAGATCTAGTTTGTAGCCCTATGTTCCACCAGGGACGTAAAGGGATAAAGTAATAAAAATAATAATTCCTAAGATCTACATTGAAATTAATCCAGATCCCGATAAAATACCTATAATGTAAATATGAATCTCTAGCTCATTGACAGTTACTACATGGATATCCTGGAGCTGCAGTGAGAAGTCGTGACCAGTGGGGTCCACCCTGTCAACGTGAAGTGGACTCTCATAGAAGGCACTAGCAAGGATAATGCTAAATCACGAACTGACAAAGTCAGAATTCACGGACCATTCAATTCAGATCCAAATGGTTGAATTGTCAACAAGCTTGCCCTCGTAACCTGAAGATCCTAGGTTCGATCTTCTGGTGGGTGTCTGCTGCTGAAGATCCCAGAATCAGGATGAAACTGCTGTCCAGTGCAAATAGAATGTAATTCAATGCTCTGTGTTAAATTAAAACAGTTAGATCGAAGAATACTTCCAACTCAACACTGCACACCATGCACTCTAAATAGTCTTCTCATCAGTACAATAAGTTGTTTCATGATTTATCACAATCTGACATCAGTTAGAGAAATATTGGAAAGCCTGGGAGTACTGGATATAGCTGTTTCATTCTAGTTTGGGGCTCTCCAGCAGTACGCACCCACCGGGTTCCGAGTCAAGGATCTTTCGGTTACTAGGCGATCTCATAGACCATTCAGCGACTGGGACCTAACACCCGAGCTGTAACCAATCTAATCCCTGCACACCAACACTTGACAATAAGTTGTGTTATATTTTAACAATATTTAGAAATGAAATTATCCTACCTAGTGCTAAATTCTCTGCAGTCATTCTCTCTTCCGTTGATTTCTTTAAAACATGCAGTTCATTCTCCCTAGCCTTCCATTTTTCAACATTTGTTCGATAAACACATTTTAGGCTTTGTATACGTTCAATTAAATCCGCTGATTCATTGATTCTACTTTGAAATATTTGATTTAGCTGGATAAAATTATCTCGGCATTCTTTATCTGTTAAGTGAAGCTAAAGTAATTCATAGAAAAACCGGAAGAAAGTTCATCATTGAGAAGAGAGTATATGTAGCCTGTTATGAAAAGATAATGTTCCGTCTAATAAAGGACTGAAAAAAAACGGAGAATCATTTGTCAGGTTTCTTATCCTACTTATGAATTTCTTAAAAGTAAGCGGTCTAAACAATATTTGAGGTCGAAACTGAAGTTATAAATTGTTGGATGGGATGAAGATTTTGTTACCGAACTACTTACTGTATGACTCCCATCCCACTGGTCATTACTAACGCAGGAACTAAGGCTTAATGTAGTGAAAATATATAATTCACCGGCTAAACTAAGTGGAGCTAAAACTTAGCACTCGAAATAAAGTAAAGTTGTGACATTGTTTCAGTTTGAAGTCCTGCTATTGTCGTTACATTACTTTGACAGGAGATTTTGTTTCAATTAACAACAGAATGGGTATTATACACAACCACCAGAATCAAACTGCTGACATACCTAATTCCAAAAGCGCTAGTGAAGCAAGAAGGTATGTTTAGAAGCGAATTGTTATGCCACTATATATATTATCATTCCCTTGAGTTCGTAATGGGACATAAGGCTTCAACAGCACGTCTCCATTTTGTCCCATTCCCTGCATTCCTCTTTGGCTGGCTCCACAACTACCCATAAACTCTTATATCCTTCTGCTCACGCGATCTCCTCCATGTCACACTTGGAAGCCCGACTCGCCGTTTCTCGCTTGCGTTCCACTTGAGCTATTGCCTGGCGTGCGACGTCTCTTCAGCGTGTATCTGAACGATCTCCGTTTACTCTGGTTTGTTCCCAGAGTTTCTTGTTGCTAATTCTTTCTGGATGGCAATCTGATCCCCAGTATGAAGCGAAGACAGTTGTTGATGGAGGTCTAAAAGCTGTTAGAAATGCTTTTCATGACGCGCCAAGTTTCTGACCCATATAGTAGAACTGACTTAATTTAGGTGTTGAAAATCCGAATTTCGTTTTCTATGCTGAGTTCAAAACATTTAGCTACTCACTCAGTATGCTTGTGATTGTCGTCTGTATGACTGGAGTACATTATTGGTTCTCCAGTTAACAGTTTGGATAGTCTACAACTATTCCACCTACTCTCACAGGTTTCTAGCACCTCTATGCCATATCCTCTCACTTCTGCAGCAACCTTTCCAGATTCGTACATTGTATGAATATTCCACATCCCAATGTTTATTTCTGCTTTCTTCGAGAGAAGACACGATGGCTGAACGGCTTCCCGAAGGCTTGAACTAGCCCCTGTCATTTCATCTCTCCAGTTCTAGAGAAGAAGAATTCCTTTTTATCTTTTTGCCGTACTTTGAAGTTCCTCTATCGGGCTAAGAACAAGCTAGAAAAGTAGTGAAACAGCAAACCAGGTGAAGTTATTTGTGTCGCTTCTGATAGACAGTCATCTTTTAAAAGAATAATTAGTTTAACACTACTTATTCGTGTTTATGATTTCTCGTTGACATATCTGATCACAATGATCAGCTCCATTTTGATATACGAGTTCGTTGAAGGGATTTCTGAATACAACCAGGATTAGGGATTCAAAGCTACTGATTGAATGATAGATAATAGCAGAATCGAAGTGGTGCGTGTTACCGTAGAGACTCGAACACAAAAATCCTTGCTTCAAACGCCAAAGTATTATCCACTGGGAAACGAGAGAGCATTTGAGGCGACGAGTAGTGGGTTCGAGTCTCACTGGGGAGTAATTTAACATTTCGACTTATCTGTGTACTTAATTAGTGTTCGACATTTTATCCTGAACGAACCACTCACTGGAGTGTACATGTTTCCAGTTGATAAATTTTAAACCAGACGAATTGTGTGCCCAGGATTTTACTGCTAGCCTCTATCAAACCAATAATTAATTTAGTCTGTTGTTCGTGTCAGTAAAACTCAAAAATACGCTAATTAGTCCTTTATTTTACATCGTGTTCTATTTCCTTCAAATATGCTATATTATACTTAAGGCAATGTAGATTGCTCTCTATCCACTTGTATATCGTTTTCGCAAGAATTTTCAAGTGAATCTATTAAGAACACTTTACGATCAAAACCACTAGATTAAATAAGCATGTAAGCAGCCTTAACTTAAACTTAGACGAATTATAAATTGAAACTGAAGATGAATTCTTGCCTTACTATTGTCATTACCTTTGTAGTTAATTCTTCATTCTGTAAGGATAATTCTTTAATATAGTTCTCATATGCTGTGACTTGTGTTTCTAATTGTTTAATTATAAAAAGATAATAATCTCGACCGAATGATTCAATGGTGTCATCGTCTAGTTCATCCAAATGTTGTAATAATTCATTATTTAAATTAAATTGCCCATTGGATTGTTTGCTAGTTGACTTTCGTGAACTTCTACCACCTCGACTCTTACTACTCGATTTATTCTTTTTAGGTGGCTAAAAATTAGAGAGAGAGAGAGGTGCGAAGAAAATAAGAATAGAAAATCTAAGATAGACGCGATAGATGAAGTATATATATAGCAGAATAAGGAAAGCTGGTACAACAAGAGGAATAGGAAAATTGAGGTTAGATATCACAAGCTACTAGACATGCATGGCTGACAAACTATCAATACTGGGTTAGCTGACATAGGGTCAGGTTGGTAAAGAGCTAGCGGCGGTCAAACAAAAACATGGCAACAGTCAATGAAATCTACAACAGTTAGTCTAAGCCACGTAGGAAGGTATAGACTTCCTGACTGGTTGGGGTCCTCGGGACGGTAAAAACCAATGATGGCTGGAAACAATTGGTGATATGGCTCAAAATTGTTCTCAGTGGCGCAGATGCATCCACTCCTTGTGACTTATGATTTCCAATGAAACTGTTTCGTTCTTCGTTATTACTATTCCTTTGTCTCACACCTCTGTTTACTCTCTATATTATGCATTTCTTCTACTTTCTTCTCTTTCTTTGTGTGCTACATGGTGAGGCGACTAGAACTGCCGCATATCGGTGCAAAGTTCTATGTCGAAAACAGACAATACTGGATAAGATTTTATTTTGATAAAATGGAGTTATGCTCTACCACAGTGCCCAAGTTTTATACTTATATCAATAAGACAATACTGGGTTTGACAACTAGTGGGGTCATACATTGACACTGACAATTAGGGTGGCATTTAAACCTACAAACTCACTCAGGGATAAGTCCTGTAGCCTAATGGATCCTATTAGACAAAATATCTTGCTATGACTGTGAAGTCGACTACATGGGCTAATCCAGTAGGTCAGGGGTAGTCAGATTACCGGAACATAAGAATTTAGCGAAATGTAGACATTATGCAAGTGCCTTGGTATGATCCGGAGCAATAAGCTGTGCTCAAAACATCATCAGTGAATAATACTCTATGTGCTTTTATCAAACTAAATAATTCTGACTGAATTTTTATAAAGAAGATATTCTCTTCTCATTTCTGAAGCGAAAACATAAAGCTTACTACACATCTCGGCGTATAATTATCCAAAGCCAAAAATATGTTCCACCACAGACCTCAACATTGCACAAGTGATTGATTACCTCACATCCTATTTAATATATCAATTAACATATATGTGAGCACACATACATACGAGTGGTGCCCATTGAACGTGAGGTCTGGGGGAAATGCTCCAAAATATTTTAAGAAACCAAGAGTAGCATCAGTATTATCCCCTATGTTTACTTTATTTGACTTTTCATTTTCATAAAAACTGAAATGACCTATGATCAAAATGTTCGGTATGTATTGCGTAAGTGCACAGCAATTTCTCAGATAAAATCCGTCTTTTATTAACGTTATTTAAAATTTATTAAACGCACTAAATGTCTTGTATTTTAATGTGATTAACATACAATAACTAGTGGAATCAAATTCGGAATTCGCAAACGGATTCACGATTTGCAATTTACTCTTCGGGGTTTCCTTTGGAAACCAGAATTATCCACATCCGCATGATATCATAAACAGTAATCAAGAAAACAAGCATGAATGCATGATAGCACATACTACTGGTTGGTTGATATGAGCATTTGGATGCGACTCCCATTAATAAGTAGTCTTTGCTAGCCAGAATTCGCGTGGTCTGAGTACACAGAATAATTGACAGTAGTCAGGAAACACTTACAACCACTTAGATGGACGCTAAAACATTTACTGCAACTCAAAATTATCCTAAGCTGTATCATGTATGGGTCTGTGACATACACTGATAGAAGTTGTAAATATCCGGGTATTGACTATTCTCTGGCCAGTGTCGTAATAAAGGCAGCTTGGCAACAGTGGAAAACACAACAACTCAGCATTCAGCTGTTTAGGCCACGACAAACATAGCATATGATTTGGTTAAGTAATGGCTAAACGCATGAATACAACACTGTTCAAGATGCGGAAACAATAACCGTCCCTACAAATCTTAGTGAGGTAGGCACATCAGTTACAATTAAATAATCTTCCATATTTCTATAGTCAGTCAAACTGGGGCATAAAAAAACAATCCATATCGTCTCTGACTGTTTGATCTAAGCCGGTATGGCGATTCCATAATCCAGATGAAATATCTAGGAAAGTTAACCCATTCATTTTATTTTCCTTCACGTTCCCCAGTGGAACATAGGGCTTCAAGCTAGTGGCTTGAAGTTTCTGTAGCAGTGTTTATTTTTACAGGATGGGGTTGCTAGCCTCACGCCCAACCTTTCCTCTTCACTAGCATTATTTCTGGCTTAGCGAGGTAAAGGAGTGCGTCGGCCGGGGATCGGACCCCTGGACCATGTGCATAGTCGGCGAGCGTCTCAACCGCTATGCCACCGACGCACTAATCCATTCATACACCATCTTAATCGGAACGAAGGATGTTTCCTCTTTAGCCTCTCATTTTGTCTAGTGACGCCTAGCGACTCCCGATCATATAATCTTCATTCGTTCTGTCTTACTTCATGTTATCCTCCAAGAAATGTAGGAATGTAAGTTGTGATAGACTTGACCTTTTATGCTGATGCATAGAACAAACTGAATTTCATTTTCTTTCCCTCCCCACGTCATCTCATATTATATGCCTGTAAATAATTATACAGTTTATCACCATGAAATGATCATTCTCATCTCCACCAAAATCATCTGTTTTACCATATTTAAAAAGCACAGTGTATGCTGGTAATCCTGGATACTGAACACTAAACAGCACTAATCCTTCCCATTCCTTTCACTCCAGTGGAAACTGAACGCAGGACCACGAGATCAGTGTGGGTCCAAGGATAAAATGAAGTAGATTGTGATAAGAGGAGATGAAAGTTTATGGGCAATCGTAAAAGTGACTGTAGAAAAGACAGTGTAGTGGAGATGTACTGCTGAAGTCCTATGTTCAACTCGGAACCCGAAAGAATAATATCCCCCTAACACTCATAACCGTTGACGCATCTCCTTCAGAGTAAACTTTCGTAAAACAATCCAACCTGTCTATTAAGGATAATTTTAAGCTGTAGAGATAAGATATGATGATCAGCATCGTATAACAATTAGAAACTTAAGAAAATATATAAAGCCCAGTCGTCAAAATCTACTCTTCACCTTGTCCTCTAAGAATTCATAGAGTGAAACCACATTCACACTAACAAACGGATACGTTCATCATAATCATCATGCGCTTAAAGTTTGTATAGAAACAAGCATAAACTACACCAATCTATAATTCACCATTAAAAAAAAGAAAATCTACGCTAATTTAAGCCAATCAATCTACTGTATAGTCAAAAAGCTAACAATGCAAAGAAGAAGAAACAACAATGCTTTATAATTTGTATACTTTTTGTTTGTTTATGCTTTCCTACAGAAAATGGTCATCGTAAGGACAAAACAAGGCAGATTCAAAGAATGTGAATGTAGAAACAAGATACAGTTGACTTTAAAAAAAAATCACATTAGAAAGGATGCTTTAAAAGTATTTAATCACAGAATTAGTCAATAGCCAGTGAGACATTGCACACAAGTTATTTTTCTAGAAAAATAATAATTTAATTAGTATATATATAGACCCATAGTAGACAAATTTATCACGTGTCTGAATTCCAAGCATCTTCCCATCCGGTTTGTGCATCCTAAAGGTGGAAAAATGTAATTCGATGAAAACAAATACACATATTCTATATACAGTAATAGTAATAATAATAATAATAATAATAATAAAATTACTGGAATCTCTTTTCATCAGAGGGAATTTAAAAAGGTCATTTTTTCATATTCTCAAAAACAAAACATTCATCACAGCATAATTATGAAAAAGGGCGATCATAATTTAAGCATTTATCGAGGATTAAAACTATTAATGGATATGAGTAGTTAGAAAACCACGAATATCGATCAATAATAGTTCTTCACATCTGCCTTCCGTGTTTACTTAGCACACTGCGGTAGACAATGCCGAGATAGAAGTTTCTTAGCTGAGTGGTTCTCAAAATGATGGAAGCGAATAGCTAAAGAAAGATTCGCACTAATGTATTTTCTCAATTGATCAATACTTCGGCTGAGTAGAAGAGTAGTTTCATCAGTTTTGTCACACATTTTATGGCTTATAGTCTATGCAAATAAACTAGCACTGGTTTCTTAAATCCATCCACTTAGTAAATTCATCACAAACACTGGAATATATCAAGTTTTTATTACCATTGATGCGAACATCCTAATAACTAACTCTTCTATGTGTATCTACCAATTTAACTGCTCCTGTGGAGCTAGGTACATAGGCCGTACAATTAGGCGTGTTTCTCGTCGAATTTCCGAACATCACCCTGTGTTGTTAGGCAAAGGACAGACAAAATCTATTCGCAGCGCTATTCTATCTCATCTTGTGGATACCGAACACAAGATTAGGGTCACTTACCGCATACTAACAAATATCAATTTCGCCTTAAGAGTTCGATTACTAAATATTGCTAAGGCTGTTGGGATCCATATTAACAAGCCTAATTTGTGTGTCCAGAAGAAGCTAGTTCAGACATTATCCTTACCTTGGCCATCTAGGTTTGAATGATCCTGAATTTTTGTGGAATTTTCCTAATTTTGGCTGATTTACTATTTGCTACTATATCTTCATTATTATTATTATTATTATTATTATTATTATTATTATTATTATTATTATTATTATTATTATTATAATTTAAGCATCTTTAATGAACTTTAATTGCATTGATCTTACTTTACAAGTCGATATTATTTAAAAAACACTAATATTGATATTGACTACTAATCTAGAATATTCTATGTATATAAACATATGTATAATTGTGGAGCCGGAAGAGGAATTTATCGAAAAGGATATTTTTTGCTCAATTATTTTGTTTTTTTAATAGATTTCTGAATGGATATTTTTGTTATGTTTCATTTGGCTCAATTTTATGCAAGGTTCCACATAGACCTAGTCTGCCTACCTAACATTTCTCAACACTAATTAACATTTGATCAAAGAATAATCAACAACGAAACATAGAATACAAACCAGCAAAATGTTACAAGCTTATGTATCAGGCTATGTGCTAAACTTGATATGTTACGTCTTATAATACTATCAGGTCGCTTTGACACACGTAAATAGAAAGAGATATATGTATTTCTTAACTACTTATATCGCTTTTCTTATTCGTTCTAATATATTTCAGAACTTTACAAGTTCGCCTTTTAGTTACGAAGCAGTAACACTCAGCATAATGCATCACTACGTATAATCTCCTTAAATCTTCCGATTACAAGAGACTGACCAACAATTTTAGTATTTGTCATTCCAATTCTTAATTAGCTGTATATTTTTAGATAATGAATGTTTGTGTGTTTAATTTCAATGATCGTATGATGCTAACCAAATTACCATAAACTTAACATTTGTAAAACAAAGAGAAAAAATTTACAATAGTAGCAACTGTCGGCATTTTTTTAAAATTATTTATTCATTTGAGTGTGAAAAAAAGAAACTCACTGTAACTAATCTATTATTCCATTTCATAAACATGCACCAATCCAATCACACTACATAGTGCAACCTTTGGTTTACTAATAGGATAATATTCAAGAAGTGTATGATAATTGAAGGTGAAATGAAAATGACGGTCTCTGGCTCGAATCCTGAAGCGAATCAAAATTTCGGTCAGCAAGTAGCATACTAATAGCAGCCTAGCAATCGAAGACTATCTCAGATAGCCTTACCAACAAATAATATTTCCTTATTCTGGTCAACAAATCGAAAATGCATTCCTCACAAAATTACATAACTTGTAGAGAATTTACTTATCTAGAGCGTGGAGATGTGATTCGTTGGCATAATAAGTACTCGATTTCAAGTAAGTTGGTTCCTGATTCGAATCTCATTCCATCTACTTCACAGTCTGGTATCATCACCTCAAACATCAAATGTGACTCACAGCCTGAGGTATCCGGTAACCGATTTCTCCCTAACTTATCGGAAGTGAAAGATTTCTGTACAAAATTTTTCTCAGATCCAAATAATTGTATATAGGGTAGAGATTTATACCTACTGTACATATATTGAAAAATAAACCACTCAATCTAATTATTATATTTATTGTGTCCTTTAGTTCCTAGAGGAACATAGGGCTTTAGCCGCACGTCACCACTGCGTTCGGTTCTCTGCCAAAGTTTTCACCTAGTTACACGTCTGCCCACATGCTGTCATCTCCTCTTCGCAAAACCTCCTCCATGTCACCCTCGTGCTGACAACCAACTCACCGCTTCCCATTTGGGTTCCACTCGACAGCCTGTCGTGTGATGTCAGTTGATGGTTTTCTCAGAGTATGGCCAATCCACCTATATTTCTTCCTGCAGATTTGTCGCACAATTAGTTCCTGGTTGGTTCGCTGCCAGAGATCCCTCACTATTGCTGATCTTTTCTGGCCAGCCATCTGATCTTGAGCGAATTATTGAGTGAAGAAAGCTGTAGTTTGCTCGAAATACCCTTCGTGACGCGACGCCAAGTCTCTGACCCGTATAGTAGCACTGACTTCACATTGGAGTTGAAAATCCGGTTCTTATTTTTTCATGTTGAGTTCTGTTGATCTCCACACAGACTTGAGAGTAATGAAAGCTTGTCTTTCTTTCTTGATCCTCACTTTAATATCCTCATCAATTCCTCCCATAGTTGAAAGGATGCTTCCCAGGTAGGTATATAAAGGAGGTTGCTTCTATCAAATTTCTCCCATCTATGCTGATTATTGTCTGTTGGTCAGGAATCTGCATCACCTCTATTTTCTAATCCTGCAATCTAATCTCATGACTGTCACTAAATAGAGCTAATAAGTCACAAAGGAAAGAAACCTGTTATAAAATGTAAACAAACACAAAAAGGTAAAAACACAAGGTAAGTGAGAGAAAAAAAAGCCATTCATCATTAAATACATACTTCTTCTACTGAATTTTCCAAAGACAGTCCATTCAGTGTGTTACAGGTTGTAAGTGAATAATTGAGAGGTGATAATGGCATAGTAGGCTTTTGTACAATTTTAGGTTCCATTAGTGTTAAAATTGCATCAACTTCACGTTCTTCATTTAAAATCTAAGGTTTTTTTTTTAAAAAAAAAGAAATTTTCCAAAAACAAAACACCAATTCATTTGATATAATATCAGTTAGATTTTAATCCCTATTTTAACAATGAGCAAAGACATTTACTTTTAGTGGGATCCTTATCCTATATATATATATATATATATATATATATATATATATATATATATATATATATATCAGTTCAATAGAATACATAATTTACCAATATGTGGAACAAAACGTATGTTAACGACAGCTAGTCAATTAACCAAGATGTCAAAGGGGTGACAGTTAACCAAGAAAACTAATGAAACAACTAAAGGGCAGATTATTGCAGGCAGTTGAAAAATGCACAATACATATGTTACGAAATAATAATAGTAATAATAATAATAGGTAATCAAATTATTAGAGTCGATTGCATAAGAACAATTAGATTTGAAATGGGCAAGTCAATAAGAAATTTAAAATAATATTAAGTTTAAAATAGAATGAATGGGTAAAGACGATTAACAAAATAACCAAAGTAAAGAAAGAGGCTTTACGACTTCCCTATGATGGATTCTACGGGTCCCTGCTAGGTACACAAGACAGGGTCGTAAAAATTAAGACAGGTTGGAATACAATAAAAAACTGTGAAAGTTTTGTTATTTGAGCTGGTTGATTTAATTACAAAGCCTAGAGAACACAAACAAATCTAAATCATTCACCTCAGCTACAAATCTTCTCTATTACTTCAAAAAAGTTTTGTTAGTCAATATTACAACAAATGATCTAAAATAGAGCTGCGAATCAACTTTGTTTGCCCTTTGCTTAACCAACCATACAAGATGACACTAGAAAATCCGACAATGAACATGACTAACTGGTGACTAACATGGATGCGAGATTAAGCAGTTTATTGGTTACAGGATTTCATCATGAGGTGACATCAGTTAGAGGACCATTGGAAAACCTGAGAGTATTGGATGGCTGTTTCATCCTAATTTGGGACTCTTCATCAGTACGCACCCACCAGGGTTCGGACCTAGGATCTCCTGGTTACAAGGCGAGCTCGTAGACCATTAAGCCACTGCGACCCAATTCAATGGCTGATTGCTCGATTAGTTTCTTAAGTGACAGTGCAAGTCTACTGCATTGAATGGTTTATACATGGCACCATATTTAGACGTTGTTTTACAGTTTCAATTGATAAAATCAACATGAAAATGAAATTCTAAGAACACTGACATTTTTGCAGCTGTCAAGACAGTTGTAAATAACTGTTTTTATCAAGACACTTCTACAGACATCCATTTTTATTAGGCATTTCACGGACAACTACCTGAAGCAGTCATTTGAGCACATAATTCAGGCTCTTTAAACCAAACACTAATAAACTGCGTTTATATTATTTCAAATGTGCACAATTAAAAAAAAACACGTTTTTTGACCCGTTGATGCTGGTGTTCAATATATATAAGCTGATTTTTAACTCCCGACAACAAATTGCGCGAAACATACCTTTTCTTCTTGTTTTTGTTGTTCTTCTTCTTCTTTTTCTTCCTTCTTATAATAATTGCCCGCAGCAGTAGAATTATCCACAGAGCATGCTGGTGATGCTTTCTTATCAATGGATTTGTCTACAAGAGCTGAAGATTCATGTTTATTAACTACATTTGCGGCTATATTATATGATGATGAATCATTGATAGAATCAAAATTTTGTTCAGGTATTTGTTCACAGGTATTTTGAACAGTTTTTAATAGCACATCTCCACCATAATCAGAATGAGAGTCATGACTATTAGTACTGTTCTCGTTATTACTAGTATGATTATTACTGAAAGCAGCACCAGTTGTGGTACTAGAAGTAGGACGGCTGTTGGACAACTTGATGATATCACCTGAAAATTAATTTTTGAATGTACATATATGTTGTTAGCCTACATAGGAATGATGACATAAACAAAAAAACAAATTCACAAGGAAACAAATCTAGTTTTTCCCTAGCGCTTATCACCAAAGTTAGTTGAAACCCTGTTGGTCAGCTTACAACATCAATCTATTGATCATGATATGTCAATATACATAATCAAATTTATCGACAGACTTTAGATATCACTAATAACTTGTGAAATACATGTATAAAGAACGCTAGGGACTACTCTAACACAATAATGAAAAACAACTTTTGCACACGCTAGCATTTATTCAATCTACCCTTCCATGGTCTAATGGTCACAGTGTGATTTCCGGCCGACACCCCCCTAGACCTCGCCAGTAAGAGGGACGGCTGGATGGGTGTGCATGTGCGTGCAGAAACAATAATATCGCCACTGAAAATCCAAAACTAGAAGACCGTTGTTTAACTAGGAACACACGGAATGATGAATAAAAATCAGTCAACAAAAACAAACACGGTCAAATGTTGTTAAATGATATCATTTCAAGATGCCTCTAAAATTACATTAAAACTAGCGCGAGTCATAATGACAAATGAAAGGTTCTACAATTAATTAATTCCTGTGTGAAATAAGAGAATGTATCCATAAGTAATAATATCTTCAAAGGTCAAGTAGTACACAGTAGGATTATAGAGAAACAAAAACAAAATGACATCATCTCGCAACATTCTTTTTTTTGGAAGATTTATTTCTAAGATGTTAATTGGAATGAAAATGCAGCTTAACTCATATACACAAGACATGAATGCTAATCAAATAAAACTTACCGTCTGCCAGAGTAGAGGTAACCGGAGAACTATATCAAGAAAATAAATACAGAAAAGAAAATTAATCACTAAGTTTACTAATAAAGTATTTTCTTTGAGAAAGTTATAAAGCAACGAAACAACTAATTTAGAACCCGGTTTGTAAATATGTATCACTTCAACTCAAAACAGTACTCATGAAAACTAGTGAACAGAAGTATAATCATGCTGACATCGATCGGCAAGGCTATAATTTAATGAAGAGTATTGAATATATCAAGCCTGAGATGCGTTTCACACCACCACGACGAGCAAGACGGTGGATAGCGGGCTTCGTAATGCCTTGGATGTTGTCTCGGAGAACCTTGCGATATCGCTTGGCTCCTCCTTTACACAATCCCTTTCCACCTTTGCCACAATCAGACATGATTCACCGGTAGACAAAGAGAGAATTGAAAAATCAAGAACAACTAAGGAGAGATCTGCGAAGACCACACGAGCGTCGGTGGCATAAAGGTTAGGATGCTCGCCGACCATGCACATGGTCCGGGGTTCGACCCCCGGCCGACGCACTCCTTCACCTCGCTAAGCCAGAAATAATGCTGGTAAAGAGGAAAGATTAGGTATGAGGCTAGCAACCCCATCCTGTAAAAATTAAACACTGCTACAGAAACTTCTAGCCACTAGTTTGAGGCCCTATGTTCCACTGGGAAAAAAATTTGAATATATATTCAGAATTTTGATGACAAGGAATGGAGTATGCATGTGACGTTTTGAACAACTTTTAGACATTTCATCGAATTTCCAATCATTTATCCTTAGTATCCTAAGGACTCCTCCAGCCAGGCGAATTAAACTTACCTATGGGGATCACATAAACCGCATACCTTGACAGCCGACTTAAAATGACTGGACTACCCGAATTTCTATCCAGCATAATAGCATTAAATTTTCTCCATATCATATTGTTTCAATCATCCAATTACGTCCTTCGGTCGTTAAATGTACTGACACACATTTTTAATTAGCTTTTAACATACTACTTGAGTGATTCTCGAAGGATACGAAGAAAAAGCATTGTAAGCGATTAGTTTTTGTTCCAGGTCGAATAGCATTGCGTCAAGTGATTTACTATCGATTACTACTTTACTTCAAGATCCTGGACGAAGAGTAGATATTATTCAATAGAATTTCGTACAGTGCGTAAATAGTTTATCCAGAATAAAACTATTATTATTCTTATTTGTGATTTAGGTTTTCTTCCCCATTTTAGCCTTGCTTCCCATAAAAATGAACTTTTATTTACATGATGAGGAGGCTTGTATAACAAATAACCCATACGCTTTATACGACAAATGTTAAGAACTTCTTGGACTGATTTTTATATCATAGTTAAGAATCTTTGTCTAACTTTTCGGCCTTGCTAAATATGCACAATCCTGTGAAGCCGATGATAGTAGTCAAACACTCACATACTTCTCATTCGACTTGCATTTAATAACGTAGCAGCCATGCAATATGATATAATGTCAAATCTCAAGCAGTACATTCAATCCTAAATAACACATTCCAAGAGAAGATTGTTTTACATTTAACTTTTTACAGAGTACAAGTAATGTTGACACAATTCAATTTGAATAAGGCATTAAGAAGACAAATTTCGCGAGATGATATCATTTCGTAGTTTTTTTACAACCGCTTTACAACTAACATGGTTAACAATAATAAAATAAAGTTCATGACAATTACTCAGTTAAATGAAAACAAAAGTACATACTAATGACCAATCATATTTAGATAGGTCAAGTAGTCTAGGGTTGGTGAAGATTGAAGTCTATTGATTTTTGTACACACAGTTTAGGCTGTATGTGATTAATCCAAAGTTCTTCCATCACCTTCAATAACCCTGAATTAGAGTTATGTGAAATAATTGTAAAACAAACATTAATATTTATTTTGTGACCTGACATTAATAAGTGTTTTGCAATGGATGACGCTGGATTTCTATTCAGATTACTGGCATTGGGATTTACTATATGATTTAGTAACCATTTTGGAACATGTTCTTTCCGACGACATTGGAACATTCTGTTGGTTCTACCTATATAGGTGTCACCGCAGCTGCAGGTGAACTTGTAGATACAGTTTGAAGTAGAGTCCACAGAATTTCGTCCTTTAATCGTAGGTACAGCGATCGAAAATGTTCGGCACGTGAGAAAAAGATATGTGGCGTAGAATGTGCGTTTGATGGCTGACCGAAGTCTTTGAGCTGTCAACTGCATAATCTGGTCACCCTTGAATGGTAGGTTAATAAAGATAGCTTTCTTTGGTACCGAAGCTGTCTTTTCGAGATGCGGTCTTTCTTTACTGTGACAAGTGATAAAGTTTTCCGGATACCCATTAGCTAATAAAACTGAATGTATATGTCGAAACTCATCCATCACTGTGTCACTCGTGCATATTTTTCGGGCCCTTGAGAACAAACATTTCACTAGGGAACGTTTATACTGGATAGGAACAAAACTGGTAAAATGAAGATATTGTCCACTCCATGTCTGTTTACGAAAGATAGATCTCTGAATCGTACCATCATCTCTCCTGGTCATTGTAATATCGAGGAAACCGAGTTTGTTACTCGATTCGCGTTCGGAAGTCACTCGGATATTTGGATGAATATTATTAAATAGGACAATGAAGTTTTCAATAGATTTACTATTATTAGCAATAATGAGAGTATCATCTACATAACGTTTATACAGCATAAATTCTCCAAGCATACCTTGCATTTGTCTTTCCAATTTCGACATGAAAATATCTGCTAACAGGTGCCCAAGAGGGCTACCCAACGCAACACCATCGATTTGTTTGTATGCATTCTCTTGAAAGGTGAATCTTATATTTTATGTACACATTAAGATGATGTCTCTGATGTAAGTTACAGGAATAGGCAAGTTTATTTCATTGCTTGTGATGTAATCGCAAAGGAAATCAACAGTTTCATTGAGGGACTAACTGTTACAATTCAATAAAACTATTCACATGGGTTGATAGTCAAAATTCAAACCAATCATGTTCATGATATGAGTTTGAAATGATAAGAATTAAGTTACGAAATTCCTTGGTCTTTTATGCTCAATCTCACCTTGAAATCTTTTAGTATATATGTAACAACAGAAGACAAGGGCCAGGCAACAGATCGTTTATCAAGGAAAATCAACACATATTTATAGATTTTAATGTACATTATTGTAGATTATTGTTAGCAGAAAATATTGGGGACATAAACATTGACGTCAATTACTGTCTACCAACTTTGGCTAGCAGCCAGCTCTCACCACATATATACATTATATTATATTTCGCCGAAAAGAGTAACTCTTCACTGAACGCCTCTCAATCTATATGAATAAATGAGCTACTTAAATTTATGTTATAGAGAAATGAATCAACCCAGACAGATCCATGTATCCACAATAATCTATGTGTTACTGAAAATCATATCAGTAAAATCAAATAGCACCAAGGCTAGATGACAGCAGAAAAGCGAGACTTGACAAGAAAATCCAACAGACATTAATACACACACACAATGTAACAAAAACATGACCAACTTACTTATTACAATTGTTTAACATATATGCAGTTTTGGAGGGATCGTAATCCTCAGAAAATACTGCTAACTGGGCTAACGGTCGAGAGACACCATTGATATCATTTAAAGATTTCTTTTCACAACATGGAATTTCACGATTACACCTTCCTATTTTTGGAGCTGCTTCATAGAAAAGATTACTACGCGGCCAAATCGAGGAATACGCATTCTTTGAATTACTAAAATTTGTATTCTGTGCGTTATTATTCCTGTGTGAGTTTACAGACGTAGACGATAATTTACCAGATTTACAGAGATCGTCTTCGGTACGACGAAGGCAATTCAAAACAACCGTAGCGTTCAAACGATTAGCAAGACAACCGAGAGATTGTATACTTAACACAGATAATCTATCGTTCTTGTCAAAGACTCCAAAACAAATCTAAACGAGAAAATTAAAAATAAAATTTAAAAAATCAATGAAGAATTTGCACAATGACACAAAATCAATAAGCCAAACCAAAAAATAAACCATGAAACAAGGCCAAATTTAAACTATTGTAGCAGCATTCGCCAAGCATAAACGAAAATATAAAATAAACATAGCAAAACTACAGATATAAAAAACCGACCAGGAAACCACCACATTACAGACGAAAAGTGATTACCAAAATGAAACCACACAAGAAAAAAATCATAGGACTATGTTACCAAAAACAGAAGAAAAACGCCAAGAATAGAACATAAACAATTACAAAATAAAAAAACAGCACAGAATTCTCAACTTCTACCGAAACAAAACCAAACCCAAAAAAAACTACTAATAAGCGCACAATAATCAACGAAAACTTCACAATAAACATCATATAAAAACAAAGAACTACCAAGAAACAAGAGAACATTCGATTTCCAAAATATACCACGAGACATACAAAAATAAACACCCAAAAACCACGAATCACTCCTGCAACACACACACACACACACACCCTCCAACTAAACCAACTACAAACATCACCTGTGGCTGAGACTTAAACCCAAAACGTATACCACGATCGGGAGCTATATCCCAGCACTCAATCAATCTCGCATACTTCGACAAACAACACTCTCAGTGAACGAGAATGTCTCAGCCAAATATGCACTAAACTCACACAACCAATCCACAAACAAACCACCCAAAAACCACGAATCACTCACCCACCACATACAATCAACAACACAAAAACAAGACAACAAATACCAATCACTCACTCCAATAACCTCAAATCTCAACCTCCTGCAACACACACACACACACACACACACACCCTCCAACTAAACCAACTACAAACATCACCTGTGGCTGAGACTTAAACACAAAACGTATACCACGATCGGGAGCTATATCCCAGCACTCAATCAATCTCGCATACTTCGACAAACAACACTCTCAGTGAACGAGAATGTATCAGCCAAATATGCACTAAACTCACACAACCAATCCACAAACAAACCACCCAAAAACCACGAATCACTCACCCACCACATACAATCAACAACACAAAAACAAGACAACAAATACCAATCACTCACTCCAATAACCTCAAATCTCAACCTCCTGCAACACACACACACACACACACACCCTCCAACTAAACCAACTACAAACATCACCTGTGGCTGAGACTTAAACCCAAAACGTATACCACGATCGGGAGCTATATCCCAGCACTCAATCAATCTCGCATACTTCGACAAACAACACTCTCAGTGAACGAGAATGTATCAGCCAAATATGCACTAAACTCACACAACCAATCCACAAACAAACCACCCAAAAACCACGAATCACTCACCCACCACATACAATCAACAACACAAAAACAAGACAACAAATACCAATCACTCACTCCAATAACCTCAAATCTCAACCTCCTGCAACACACACACACACACACACACACACCCTCCAACTAAACCAACTACAAACATCACCTGTGGCTGAGACTTAAACCCAAAACGTATACCACGATCGGGAGCTATATCCCAGCACTCAATCAATCTCGCATACTTCGACAAACAACACTCTCAGTGAACGAGAATGTCTCAGCCAAATATGCACTAAACTCACACAACCAATCCACAAACAAACCACCCAAAAACCACGAATCACTCACCCACCACATACAATCAACAACACAAAAACAAGACAACAAATACCAATCACTCACTCCAATAACCTCAAATCTCAACCTCCTGCAACACACACACACACACACACACACACCCTCCAACTAAACCAACTACAAACATCACCTGTGCCTGAGACTTAAACCCAAAACGTATACCACGATCGGGAGCTATATCCCAGCACTCAATCAATCTCGCATACTTCGACAAACAACACTCTCAGTGAACGAGAATGTCTCAGCCAAATATGCACTAAACTCACACAACCAATCCACAAACAAACCACCCAAAAACCACGAATCACTCACCCACCACATACAATCAACAACACAAAAACAAGACAACAAATACCAATCACTCACTCCAATAACCTCAAATCTCAACCTCCTGCAACACACACACACACACACACACACCCTCCAACTAAACCAACTACAAACATCACCTGTGGCTGAGACTTAAACCCAAAACGTATACCACGATCGGGAGCTATATCCCAGCACTCAATCAATCTCGCATACTTCGACAAACAACACTCTCAGTGAACGAGAATGTCTCAGCCAAATATGCACTAAACTCACACAACCAATCCACAAACAAACACCCAAAAACCACGAATCACTCACCCACCACATACAATCAACAACACAAAAACAAGACAACAAATACCAATCACTCACTCCAATAACCTCAAATCTCAACCTCCTGCAACACACACACACACACACACACACACCCTCCAACTAAACCAACTACAAACATCACCTGTGGCTGAGACTTAAACACAAAACGTATACCACGATCGGGAGCTATATCCCAGCACTCAATCAATCTCGCATACTTCGACAAACAACACTCTCAGTGAACGAGAATGTATCAGCCAAATATGCACTAAACTCACACAACCAATCCACAAACAAACCACCCAAAAACCACGAATCACTCACCCACCACATACAATCAACAACACAAAAACAAGACAACAAATACCAATCACTCACTCCAATAACCTCAAATCTCAACCTCCTGCAACACACACACACACACACACACCCTCCAACTAAACCAACTACAAACATCACCTGTGCCTGAGACTTAAACCCAAAACGTATACCACGATCGGGAGCTATATCCCAGCACTCAATCAATCTCGCATACTTCGACAAACAACACTCTCAGTGAACGAGAATGTCTCAGCCAAATATGCACTAAACTCACACAACCAATCCACAAACAAACCACCCAAAAACCACGAATCACTCACCCACCACATACAATCAACAACACAAAAACAAGACAACAAATACCAATCACTCACTCCAATAACCTCAAATCTCAACCTCCTGCAACACACACACACACACACCCTCCAACTAAACCAACTACAAACATCACCTGTGGCTGAGACTTAAACCCAAAACGTATACCACGATCGGGAGCTATATCCCAGCACTCAATCAATCTCGCATACTTCGACAAACAACACTCTCAGTGAACGAGAATGTCTCAGCCAAATATGCACTAAACTCACACAACCAATCCACACACAAACCACCCAAAAACCACGAATCACTCACCCACCACATACAATCAACAACACAAAAACAAGACAACAAATACCAATCACTCACTCCAATAACCTCAAATCTCAACCTCCTGCAACACACACACACACACACACACACACACACCCTCCAACTAAACCAACTACAAACATCACCTGTGGCTGAGACTTAAACCCAAAACGTATACCACGATCGGGAGCTATATCCCAGCACTCAATCAATCTCGCATACTTCGACAAACAACACTCTCAGTGAACGAGAATGTCTCAGCCAAATATGCACTAAACTCACACAACCAATCCACAAACAAACCACCCAAAAACCACGAATCACTCACCCACCACATACAATCAACAACACAAAAACAAGACAACAAATACCAATCACTCACTCCAATAACCTCAAATCTCAACCTCCTGCAACACACACACACACACACACACCCTCCAACTAAACCAACTACAAACATCACCTGTGGCTGAGACTTAAACCCAAAACGTATACCACGATCGGGAGCTATATCCCAGCACTCAATCAATCTCGCATACTTCGACAAACAACACTCTCAGTGAACGAGAATGTCTCAGCCAAATATGCACTAAACTCACACAACCAATCCACAAACAAACCACCCAAAAACCACGAATCACTCACCCACCACATACAATCAACAACACAAAAACAAGACAACAAATACCAATCACTCACTCCAATAACCTCAAATCTCAACCTCCTGCAACACACACACACACACACACACACACACCCTCCAACTAAACCAACTACAAACATCACCTGTGGCTGAGACTTAAACCCAAAACGTATACCACGATCGGGAGCTATATCCCAGCACTCAATCAATCTCGCATACTTCGACAAACAACACTCTCAGTGAACGAGAATGTCTCAGCCAAATATGCACTAAACTCACACAACCAATCCACAAACAAACCACCCAAAAACCACGAATCACTCACCCACCACATACAATCAACAACACAAAAACAAGACAACAAATACCAATCACTCACTCCAATAACCTCAAATCTCAACCTCCTGCAACACACACACACACACACACACACACACACCCTCCAACTAAACCAACTACAAACATCACCTGTGGCTGAGACTTAAACCCAAAACGTATACCACGATCGGGAGCTATATCCCAGCACTCAATCAATCTCGCATACTTCGACAAACAACACTCTCAGTGAACGAGAATGTCTCAGCCAAATATGCACTAAACTCACACAACCAATCCACAAACAAACCACCCAAAAACCACGAATCACTCACCCACCACATACAATCAACAACACAAAAACAAGACAACAAATACCAATCACTCACTCCAATAACCTCAAATCTCAACCTCCTGCAACACACACACACACACCCTCCAACTAAACCAACTACAAACATCACCTGTGGCTGAGACTTAAACCCAAAACGTATACCACGATCGGGAGCTATATCCCAGCACTCAATCAATCTCGCATACTTCGACAAACAACACTCTCAGTGAACGAGAATGTCTCAGCCAAATATGCACTAAACTCACACAACCAATCCACAAACAAACACCCAAAAACCACGAATCACTCACCCACCACATACAATCAACAACACAAAAACAAGACAACAAATACCAATCACTCACTCCAATAACCTCAAATCTCAACCTCCTGCAACACACACA